ATATATTTGTTTTTAAAGTTAATTAATAAAATAATTATACATATATTTTTAGATTCAGATAAAAACACATTACCTACAATGGGATTCCATATAGTATCTTTAAAATACAAAACATACACTGTAAAAATTTATGACATTGGTGGTAGCTCTCAAATCAGATCTTTGTGGCCAAAATATTATAATAGTGTAAGTAATTAAATTATAATATGATTATTAATATAATTAGTAAATAATAAATAATTAAATATAACTTAATATAAATATTATAAAGTTCTTGCAGATCATAATCATATTTCATAGAAATGTAATTCTTTTATTTTTATTGTGAATAACGAAATATTTATTTAATAATCATTTTTATTTTAGATACATGGTCTTATATATGTTGTGGATGCTAGTGATATTTCCCGTCTTACAGAAAATAAAGTTGTTCTTGGTGAATTAATCTCACATGAATGTATTTCAGGAAAACCATTATTGTTGTAAGAAAATTAAATATGTTATTTCTCTTTCTATATTGTTGTTTTTACATATCATTTTGTAGATGTAATGTATATAAATGCAGAAAATATATTCATGTATATAACACGCTTGTTTTAATAAAATTTTATATATATAATATTTTATAATAGGCTTGCAAACAAACAAGATATAAATGGAGCTATTGATGAATTAGATCTTGTCGAGAATTTAGATGTAGAACATGCTGCTAATACTATGAAATGTCCCACAAGAGTGGAGATATGTTCGTGTATTTGCAAAGGAGATCAATCAAAAGATAATACAATTGGTATAAAAAATGGATACAAGTATGTAACAAACTTTTATTTTTATATTAAATATAATAATAAATTTAACTTTTTCTTTCATTAAATAAAAATAATTTACACAGATGGCTGCTGGATATAATAGTGAAGAATTATACAACTTTAAATAGTAAACTTAAAAGTTTTCAAAATGCTCAATACGAAAAAAATATTGAAGTACAAAGTATAGCATTAGATTCACCATCAAGATTATCAATCCATTCCAATCCTTTTAAACCAATCAAAGACCTAATTTTAAAAAGGGTAATATTATTAAAATTTTATTTCAAATAAATTATTATATTCTCATTTTATCTATTGTAATTTTAGGAAGATATTCATACAGCAAGTATTTCACAAAATGGTATGTAATATTAAATAATATATAATAAAGAAATAAAACTTTCTTACTCTTCTTAGAAATAAAACATTCTAATAATAATAATAATAATATATAAGTAATATTTGTAGGTATAATAACAAATGAAAATAAGTTAAAGAAAATATTTAAACATAGAAATAAGACTGCACCACTTACTACTGAAGAATCTGTCATTGAAATTAAAAATATATCAGAAAATGTTAAATTTACTACACAAGCATTAGAATCACAAAAGAATTTTCAAGTATTTTCACCAATATTAAATCCAATAATATTAGATACATATACAAATTCAGTTAGGTTAAAAAATAATCGTCCATATACAGCACCAGAATGTACACAACATTTTGTAAATAAGATAACAGTACTTAACATTCCTGGACAAGTGACACAAGAATAATATTTTAAATTGTATTATTATCAAAAATAATAAGGGACCATTATTAAGGAATATATATAATAATACAGATTCGGACGAAATAGATATAAAATCTAAGAGGTGATTCTAGAGATTAAAATAAACACATAAATCGATATGCAAAAATGTTCAAATTATAAGCAATAGAATTATGTACTAAATAAGCAAAATGGAAATAAAATATAACAGAGATAAAGCTATCTCACTTTACCATTATCTTATTTCATTTCAACAAATATTTTCGCATACTAACTTCTGTGTTTTTATTTTCTTTAAATTTTTATCTATTTTGTCCGAATAATCTGTATAATATATTTGAAAATGCACCAAGAAAAATATTTTAACGAATTTTATAATATGTTTTTATAATATAAACATTTAATAAATATTCCTTTTATTCTCATCTGATATACTATAGAATAAAAATCAAAAATATTTATTCTTTATTATACGAATAATCATTTATATAAATAATATCTGTGTATAACTATTTGTGTTCTAGTCATCAAATATATTCATATGTTGATTTAAATATTTTTTCCAATTATTGTTTTTTATACACGTTACAATGTTATTTAAAATTATTTAGGTATATTTTATGACATTAATAAAATCATTAATATATCTTTTTTATTTTAATTTTATTATCTAGTTGCATACAAATTCACATACATGAAAATTTAAATATTCGAGAATATATACGAAAGACTTATAAAAGCTATAATATAAAGATAGTAAAAAATTTTCGATTAATAATAGCAGTAAAAATATATAAGAATTATATTGCAATACATAGAGCACATCAGTACATACTTATCACAATACAATAAATATTATAAGTAATTTTATCTTATCTGTAATACTATCTTATTGAGCAACTACTTTATTATATATATTGAAAGATTATATTGAAAATTGTTATAGTAAGGAACAATGTTATTTTAATATAAAAGAAAAATTTATGAAAAATATTTTATATAACTTTCATGTATAAACACATCATTGAAATATAGCAATCAAACCATTAAAAGTAACATAAAATTTCAATAATTGATATTTAAAAATTACATACTCTCATGAAAGACTGTTATATCACGTTTTCAAAAATTTTATAGATCATAATAATGCCATTTCAAATGCAAATATAGCAACTTTTGCTATAATAGTAATATTTTTTTTTGTTAAATTTTTATTTATTTATTTATAATAATGCCTTTCTCAAACTATGAAGCAACATAACATTTTATGTATTAGCAATTCCAAAAGTATATGCAAATTGCCTTTCTTATTTTTTATTTATTTTCTTATAGATAAAACTCGAATATTTGTTGCAATTGCACCTCATATAATCACAATTACTTTAATTAGGCAAGTTAAGTTTATCTTTATTACTAAGTTGAAAATATTTCATTTTTTTTTTTCATATAAGATAGACTATTGCTTGTTATAAAAAGACAAATTTTGTCCTTTTGACTTTTATACAAAGTGTAAATATATAAATTTCTTCAATTGTTTGCATTATAATGATTAAAAAATAGTTTTTTTAAAATATAATGTCAAAATTTTATAGATAATATATACAAATTGTAAAATTTTGTTCATAAAGCAGCAATTACAAAGGCGTTCAATTTTGACTCTATTTATAAATTGATGTCTTAATTTTATTTTTCATTTGTACTTATTTTATATCTTAATTATATAATAGTTTTGAATATAAATTTTTAGATGACTATGATTACATTCATTTTATGCAATTTTTTAATGATTTAAGAGTTGTTAAAAATTATAGTTAAAGATTCTATTATAAATTTCTATTATGAATATATATCTTACAAAACATATGATTTGCATATATATTCATTAGACAAGTACAAAAATTTGTATATACCATAAAAGCTATGTATTTGTATTGCTATGTTTTGTTTTTTAATATAAATATTACATAATATAATGGCAGTATAAAATAAATGCTATTATTTAAATGCTTTATATTGCAGTCACATCTAATAGAAATTGAATAGATAAAATATTATCTTTTAATTCTTAATAACAATATGATTAATGTTACAAAGGTACGTAATATATAATCTATGTATTTTATATTTTATAAAATTCTTATATATAAAACGACTATACAATTCCGTTTTTCGGAGCTGTAAATTTTACCAGACGAGTTAACATTGATGTAATGCACGGAATTTGTTTTTGTTGATGCATTGTAATATTATCAGGAGTATTTGATTCAAAATCAATAGCAACTCGCTGACAAACAAATGTGAGTAAAGTTAACAAATCGTAACGAGTACCATTTTCTCGTAAATGTTCACACAACGCTTGTATGAACCATGAACCGCGAGTAGTATTTCTCCATGAATAATAACCTGTATAAATAATTTTTTTTTAACTAAATTACATAAGCATAAAATTAATTAAAAAAATAATTTTCTTATAGGTAACTAAAAATATATAATTTTTTTCTAAAGATTTTAAATATAATTCTTTATATCTTTTAGAAAATTATAATTTATATAATATATAAATTATATTATTATATAATAATACACATTAAATTATATTATTATATGATTAAATTATAATTTTTTCAATTTTATTATAAGTTATTCAATATCATTCTAAATGTTTATATTTATATTCAATATTATTTTAAATGTTTGTATTTATAATATAATAAATAAAAAATAAAAAAAAGTTAATGGAATAAAAAAAAACATAATATAACAAATTTAAATTCAAATAAAATATAAAAAAATAAATTATATTATAAATTTATTTTAATATTATATTATATTTACCTGGTATTGTGGAATAAGCAATTAAAAAATCTGCATGACTTGGTATACGAAATGTAGAAGCTGGTTGACCATCAGTTTCTGTACGTTCTTTCAATGTTATTCCAGCATCTAATTTATCTCCTTGGCAAGCTTGTATAAAAAATAATTTTGGTTTTCCAGAAAGTGTAGGACATTTATCAGCTGTAAAGTGAGCCCAAATAGAATCAGGTTTATATGAAGTATCATGAGCATAAAGTAATCCTAAATCTCCATGACTCAATATAGCTACAACTAAGCAATCATGTTGAGAATGATCCATACTAGCAACTGTAAAAAAAAAAGTATATTTTTTAAAAATATTCAATATATCTTATTTATATGTTATTACATAGATTTCAAGAAATAATTTTTTTTTAATTAAAAAAAATCAAAGATTAGAATTAAAGATTAAGAATTATGACAATTATTATTTTAAATTAATTTATCAATTAATTTGTACCTCTTTCTAAATTTTTTACTATATCTCTATGTGTATAATTATGAAAATCATTTACTTCAAAACCAAGATTTTTTAATGTATTGATAAGATTTTTACAATCTTCATTTGTTCCACATCTTGATCTAAGATGTGCAATAGTAAAAAATTCATGATTAAAAATAAGAGCTAATCCACGTTTTGCATGATTCATATTATAATGTGTAGCATAACGGTCTGTAGGTGCTGTTTGTAAAGGGCCCATAAGAGGACTGACATTGTTTCTGGAAAATAAGAAAAAGGCATGCTTGATGTCTAAATTTTAAATAAACAATTAATAATAATTAGAGCTATATAAAACAAGATATAAATTAAATTATTATATTAATTATATAATTTTTTTTGTTTTATAATATAATTACAATTTTCTCTGCATATGTTATATTATTATTATATTATTTTATATATTACAAATTAAATTATAAAAATTGGATTTATAAATAAATAAAACTATTTATAATATTATAATATTTATAATCTAAAAATATATCTTTATAAAATTCTAAATTTCGTGCTAATAGATAACATATATTAATATACAATATGGGAAATAAAAAAAAAATATAAAAATAAAATCTTATCTTACCTAGAACATCCAAATGCATCTCCGACATCATTATTATATTTATTATTGTCGTTTATAATATCTCTTTTTGTAGAGCACATAGTTTCACTTTAAAAGAAGTTTTCACAACAGAAAAAACAGTTTTATAGAAATATCACACTTTACTGACGTTATATATTACGCACTATAGCACGCGTCGTGTCGTGACTCATTTACTCATATACGTATCTTTAGTTACTATATACTACTGTGAACAAGTATAAAAACATTTCAATACAATGATATAGCAACGGCCATTATACTAACATAGAAGAACATATACAGGATATTAATATATTCATGAGGCATCTTTGGAGAATCAATTTTAAAAATTAAAATAAACATAAAAGTACAAAATAAATATAAAATATATAAAAATGGCGGTTGAGGTTTATTAAGTATTAAACAAAATAAAAACAGAATGCCATCATAATATAAAGACAGAATAGTCTCACTCTATTTCTATCTTGTTTTATTTAATGTAAATTTCAATTGTTTAATAAATAAGCTTCAATCGAAATTTTTGTATACAAACTTTTGTTCAATTTAATCTATGCTAAATAATTAATTTTCCAAAGATATTCCATGAATATATATAACGAATATAATAATACATATAATCAAATATAATATATAAATTCTTTTTATTTTAATTTTTTCTTTTAATTTTGTCTATTTTATTAAAAAAAGAAATATATCAAAACTTCAAAAATAATAAACGAAATTCACATTAATAATCTAAAAATAATTATTGATTAAATTATTTTTGCGATCAAAAATTTCTGAAATATTTTATATATTTTAATAAAAATTCAAAAATTACTATATGAATTATATATATAATTACTATATTATTAAAAATAAATAAATATGAAAAAATTTCCTAATTGCAACTCTTTTCTCGCAAAAAAAAAACGAACAATTTGAAATTCATAGATATTCATTATTAAATTCTATTTCATTATGTTTTCAAATGTATCATTATTGACAAATTTTATTTTGATATTTGTAGATGCTAAAAAGTTATAATTTGAATATAAAATTCTAAACAAAATTAAAAAATATAAATAATCTCCTTGTTATCTATTTAATACAATAATAATATTATTGATAATATATAATATATATGGCATATAATCAAATTATTAAAACATTATTAAAACATTATTAAAATATCTTTTTCTTTAAATTATTCAAATGAATCATATATGGAAGATGGGGCGATTTTAGCTCATACTCCTTTTAGCTCTATTCCTAACAAATTCAATATTATATTTTATTATAATATTTTATTATAAATTAAAAATATTTGCATAAAATTTTTATTAATTTTTAATTTCATTCATCCTATTATAAAATTTTAATAAAAAATATTTATTTAACATTCATAAAAATGACTTCCTTTTCTAATTGTTCATAATCACAATAATACCTATATATGTATATATATATATAT